GGACTACATTTCCCTCAATGTGGCTCCTGAGCTAAAATGAGTTTGACACCCCTGATCTGAAGCATTCGGCGTTCTAACGCCGTATGAATGAATGTCTCTGAACACTGACGCTGTATGTTTATCTGGCCTCCAGAAGATGGCGATGTAGCACTTTGGTTCAACTGATTGGCTCCCTTGTTGATTCATTACTGGGTTTGTTTTCATCTGCTCCCCTCCAGGAAAACTTATCCCGGATAACATAACAGACTTCATCTATAGAAGCAGGAAGACCATCACTGTCGTCAGCCACAAATACCTGGAGAGTGAGTGGTGCTCCAGAGAGGTCCAGACAGCCAGGTAAGGCGGCATCTTAGAAGTTTTTTTCTAGAGTTTTGCTCCTTTGTTTTCATTTTTTAAATAACTCACACTGGTTTTGCAGACTGTACTCAAGTGTAGATTGCAATGTATTAATATAAAATTCCCTCTTTAAAACTACTACCTTTTTTCCCCATTTGCTTTCAGTTTTCCGACTCGTGCTGATCCTGGTGTTTCTGGAGGACATTCCCACTTACCTGCTGTCTCCTTATGTTTATGTTTATTTATGTGGCGGACACAAAGCAACGTACAGTTGTTAACTGATAGGGCATGTTGTGATCTGTGGGGGAACCGGAGCACCTGGAGGAAACCCACGCATGCACCAGACCACAGCTAGGTTTCGAACCTGCAGCCTTCTTGCTGCAAGGGCAACAGTGCAAAGAACTGCACCACCGTTCAGCCTTACCACCGAATGAGGAAGCTGCTGAAGAAGAAGAAGAAGAAGAAGAAGAAAAAGAAGAAGAAGAAGAGAATTTCTATAGCGCCTCTCAAGATAAAAATCATGAGGAGCTTCACAAAAACAAAACATGTAAAAATATAAAAAATTCTTTAGAAAATTATTAAAAATATATTTAAAATGAGCAAAAAATAGACAATTGTGATTAAAAATGTAAAGAGAGAGAGAGAATAGGAAAGAGGGAAATCAGTGGATCCTGAGGAAGGTGGAATAGGTGGGGAGAGCAGAAGAAGGAGAGGGTGAAGAAGGTCATACAAAAGTTTGAACAGGTGAGTTTCAGCTGCTTGAACAGGTGAGTTTCAGGGGGTTGGAGAGCAGGCGGTCAGGGGCGAGCGACGGGCTGGTGAGCAGGATTGATCCAGTGAGTCTTTTGCTTGATGGTGGAAGTTGGCAGATGAATGGAAGGTACCTGAGGAGGTCGGAGGTAACAGGGCAGATTAACACAATTGAAGCGAGGTAAACAGGAGATAACACAAGACAGGCAAGGTTCTGGCAAGAATACTACCCAACACTGAGTAATCATCCGGCGCTGATGTGTTGTCCCGACACTCCTTAAATCCCCTGACCACTGATGAGAAGATCAACAGCATCTGCTCTCCTGACACACCCACCTGTACACAGAGAAACTCAACACAAAACAGGTGTCAACTCAGCACAGACCATGACAGATATTTGTACTTTTAATGCTGTATTAAGTTGATCTAATTTTACTGATGATTTCAAACGCTTCAGCTCAGTTTATAGAGTATTAGTTTCTCCTGCACACAAGCCAGGAAGTCATTTTACAAACACACACCTAGCTGAATTAATACGAAGTGTGTTTATGGTCCCTGAAGAAGCAAAGAACCCTAGAATCTTCTGAATAAACATTCAAAGATCAATCAGGTTGATATTTCATATTTACATGGAATCATCACATCTTATTGGTCATTTTTAATAAAGTTGTAATGTTTCATTTCATTACACCTCGTTGCACCTCCCTGTTCTCTGATAGGCTTACTCAGCCCTGCTCTGCATGACTAGAATTGGTTCATCTTGGTAAAACAGCCTTTTCCAACAGCACAGGTCTGTATTTTCCCTCAACTTTGCAGTTCTTGAAAAATATGGTCATGGTTTGTGGGAAAAGTGGAGAGACCTTTGTTGTCTGAAGTGGCCCAGCTGACAGTCAGTGTTTTAGAGGTTGATTTGGTTCTTGTAGCTACTGACACATGTCAGAGGTTAAAGAGGAACAGCATAATCGGAACTGTAAAAGTTGTTTATGAACATGACTCGGTCTGTTAGAAAACAAGAACATAAAGGAAGAGAATAATCTGCAATCCATTCACAGAACATTGATGTCGCTTGCATTTTTACTCAAAGTTGCATCTGCTTAAAGAAATCCAACACGCGCCCGAGTAGTGATACTGTGAGGGTTGAATGCATAGAACCTCTTAGGGAAGTATACAAAAATAGCCCACCACCATCTCACTTCCTCAGGAACTCACAGAAAGAGGCTGAAGACATCAGAAAGAGGCTGAAGACATCAGAAAGACAGCATATAATCTGAAGAAATCCATCACTCTACTCTCGGTGTCGACTCACATTTTCCTACAAATAGCCCACCATTAGGTGAAGATCACAGAACGTTGCACAGTAAGTAAATGACATTTGATGACATAATGACGTAATTTGTGGTTAATATTTGTTCAGAATAGGCACCTTGAATGAGATGGTTTTTGGGTAACACTTTACAATAAGGTACGCAAAACTGTGCTTCATTAATAGGGAACGACTTACGGGGTAATGAAGCATGGAAGAATAGGCAGTTAACCAGTAGTTACTGGTGAAAATGCTCATCAGTATTTTTTTAGGGTCTAATAGGTAGTTAACCAATACTTACTTGTAAACACCCAGCAGTCTTTTTCAGGGTCTAATAGGTAGTAATCTTTGAGCGCAATAAGGAACGAATCCCAAATGAATGCAATGCCTGTCGACTCTTTTGAAAACTTCATGAAGGATGCAGATAATTTGCAACATCGTAGTGATTTTACATCCCTGTTTCATCTTGATTTCACTCGTCTGTCACTTCGTCGTCCATCGTCAGCATCCGTCCATCTCGAGATGATAGAAAGTGAAGCCTCCTCCCAAGTACCTACTCAGGAACTAATCTGTACCTACTAGGTACTTAACCATTACCTACTGCTTTTGTCTACCTTAAAGTGAAGCCTCCTCCCAAGTACCTACTGAGGAACGAATATGTACTTACTCAATACTTAACCATTACTTATATGTTGTTACACGGCCATTCACCATAAATACATTGAGCTCATTTGCACATCATTTTCTTTCATCTTGTGTGTGGTAATACTCCAGAGATAGGTGACCAAAATCCTGCAGGTTACAGTGGTACCTGGCTCAAATCAATCACTAACAAAATGTTCAATGTTTAGGGTACTTTTTTAAATAATCAGAAAAGTACATAAAAATTACTTTTACATTTATAAACTTTGAAATCAACATTTAAAAACACTCTAAAACTACCTGTTCTTCCCTGCTTCATTACTCAGCAGTGTTGGGCAAGTTACTTCAAAACTGCAATACATTATTTATTACTTGTTACCCTCATTTTAAAGTAATCCATCACACTACAAGATTACTGATTTTAAAATGTAAGGCATTACACTACTTTTGCATTACTCTAAGTTACTTTTAACAAAACAACTTCAGTATGAATCTGGTAATCTGACGCCCAGTGAACTCATGACACATCCGGTGGAAGGTGATGTGGCATCTGAGCTAGTGTTGCTGTTAAAAACAGTTCTTTAGAATGATTGTTTATTAAATAGAAGCAACAACAAACTGTACTCTCAGCACGCTGTCATCTTATATTAACCGAGCAGGGAGTGAGGTGGTGGAGGGCTCAAAGCCGACTTAGCCTTGGTCCCCAAATGCCTTGATACGGCCCTGGATGTGGGACTTACTTTTGAGGGTGATCTGATTCTATCACATGTATAAATATTAAATGCTTTTCACAGGTAAAAATGTGTATTGGGGATAAATCTACCTTTTTTTTTCTTTTCAAGTACTTTGGTTTTGTTTTCTTGATTGTATTTGAATAATTTCCGGCCCTTTTCTCTCCCTAACCTTTCTGCATGCTGCTTGTTTTCTCCATCTTCCAGGAAAACCGTTTCCTAGACTTCCTACTTTCTAACTAATCAGCCAAAGGAGTCTTAACATGTGCTGCGCTCCAGCAGCAAAGAGTTGAAATCACCGGGGTGCAGATTATGAACTCAGCTGAGGCAAAGCACGTCAGAAAAGTACAGAAACTACCAGAGAATATGCGCCAATATGAACGATGGCAAGTGAATTATTTTGTTTTAGTGGAGCGATTTTTTGAATGTTACAGCGGCCGCGGGCAGGACGCAGCTGGAGTATTTGAGCCGTTACCACTGCGTCCTCTCTGCCCGCAAAGCTGAGTCCATAAATGATGTCATATATGCAGATACTGGATCTTATTTTGGGCTTCCCGCAATTTGAATTTTTAAGAAACGCATCTTGATTCTGGGTTTAAAAATGCATTTTAATTACCGCGTTACTGACAATTGTACTGAGCAAGTATTACCAATTTGTTTCCCTGTAATGCCGTACATTACCTCATTACAGCAAAAAGCAATGAATTACAGTTATTAATTACTTTTGTACCACATTACTCCCAACACTGTTACTCAGTACCCTTTAAGTCATTCCCTAGTAACACAGCACAAATAGATAACCACCTATTAGTCCCTGAAAAAGACTGCTGGGTGTTAACCAGTAAGTATTGGTTAATTACCTATTAGACCCTGAAAAAAGACTGATGAGCATTTTCACCAGTAACTACTGGTTAACTACCTATTCTTCCCTGCTTCATTACTCATTACCCCCTAAGTTGTTTCCTAGTAACAAAGCACAGTTTTGTGTACCTGATTGTAAAGTGTTGCCGTTTGTTGTTATTTTTCAGCAGTGAAACCAAAATATGACGATATTTTAAAGCAATGTTTAAAAAATGCCAATTGAAGTGCGCTAAAAGAACTTGTTGAATTTTCAGGATCACAGGACAGAGTTATTATACTCATCCAGCCTTAATGATGGGGTCAAACGGAGGAAATCAGTCTAAGCTCATCTTCGTTTTTCTCTTGATGGTCACATCTGGGCTGATTGTTCCAGTTGAAGGATTTTTCCTGGAAAGCTGCGTAATCACCAGGAACACAGCACAGTGTGTAAAGAAAAAACTCACAACCGTACCTCAAGATATTCCCCCAACAGTGACTGGATTTGACTTATCTGTAAACAGACTCTCAAAGATACAAGCGTCGGATTTCAAGGATCTACCCTTTCTGACCCGACTGGACCTGAATCGTAACTACATCTCTCAGATCGGCAGCTTTGCGTTTGCCGGTTTGATTTCCCTCCAGAAGTTAAATCTAAACAACAACAAAGTAGTTCAACTGGAGGAGAACGTTTTTCACGGATTAAGCAACCTCACAGAACTAAGAATGAATTACAATCGCATCAAGGTTGTAACCACCACCTCCTTTCAATCCTTGACTAGACTTAGGAGCTTAGACCTTTCTGAAAACAAGCTCCAAACGATGGATGACCTTCGTCTAATTCTGCAGCATCTTCCACAGCTAAAGGAGCTGCTGCTGAAGAGAAACGCTTTCAAAAGCTTTCATTCGTGGGAACTTCCAAACCGTTTGGGGGAACTTAACGCTCTGGATTTGTCTTTTAATCCCTTAGACAAGTTCATAATCACAGAAGATGTCTTTCCAAATCTTACGCGCTTCGTCATTGGAGACCTTTACAGAAAAGCGCAGATGAAGTGGGACGTCCGTAGTCAGACTTTCCTGAGTCGAGTATCCAAGCTCAATATCAGTGGTCTTCATATGGCTCTTGATGACATGAAAGCTTTGTTTGAATCGGTGAACTCGTCACTGACTCATTTAACTATGAACGGAATGAAAGGAAACCTCAGAGCGCTCATTAACACTTCTTGCGCCATCCCAACGATGTCCACGTTACAGGTTAGTCGTAACAAGCTCAAATTCGTCGGTCACGATTTTTTCAAATTGTGCGCTAACGTAACTGAATTAGATCTGTCGGAAAACAAAATAGTAAACATCCAAGATGATGCCTTCACACCTCTGGAAAATCTACTAATTTTAGACCTGAGTCGCAACAGACTTCTAACCATTCCATCAGCCATGAAAAGTCTAGGGCACCTCTCCAAGCTGGACCTCAGCTTCAACAACATCAGCACCATTGGGTGTGAAGACTTCTCCAGTCTGACGAAGCTCCAAGAGCTAAACCTAAAGAACAACTATTTTCCGGCTCTCAAAGCATGTGCTTTTAAAGACTTGACACAACTCAAAGGTCTAAAATTGCAATACTGTCACATCAGCAACTTAAATGGGGCTTTTGTAAAACACTTGCCAAACCTCCAATGGCTGCAGCTGAACAGAAACAAACTCACCACGATCAAACGGGGCGAGTTGAGCGGATTGTGGTCACTGCTGAATTTATCATTACACGAAAATAAAATACGGAATCTCAATCACAACAGTTTTGTTGGATTGACTAATCTTTCATCTATTAGACTGCAATCAAATTTGATCACAAGTCAGGACTTGAACACAGGGGCTTTCAATACACTCGTAAACCTACGGAAACTGGACGTAAGCGATAACCACATCAAATTTGTTCAAAGTGCATCTGAGAGTCAAGCACCGTTTTCTAACCTGCAACATTTAGAGAAGTTGTCCATAAACACACAGCACCTCAAAGGAAAGTCACGCCTGCCTCCGCACCTCCTGAAAGGTTTAACGAGTCTTTTAAGTTTCAGCGTCCGAAACATTCAGCTCATCAGTTTGGACAAAGAAGCTTTCAAATACACACCTAACCTGGAGCGACTTGATGTCAGCTCAAACGACTTGGGCAATCTGCCTGCAGAACTGTTTTCCCCAATTCCAAACCTTAAAAGCCTCTACATCTCCAGAGCATCTCTTCAGTCGCTTGATTTCTTTATCAAGGCCAACTTGACCAAAGTCGATTTTGTGCAGTCAACTCACAATCAATACTCAGTCATCAGCAAAGACGTAATCGAGTCCCTGCCAGCTCTGGCTTCCGTAAACTTGGATGGAAACAGTTTCATGTGTGACTGCGACAACGCCTGGTTCCTCAACTGGACGAAAGCCAGCAGACAAACGCAGGTTTTAGGTGCCTCTAACTTCTTGTGCAACTATCCAGAAGACTTTAAAGGTACAGCGTTTTTGGACTTTGACCCAACCTCCTGCTCGGTGGAAACTGGCTTCATCTGCTACGTGTCTACAACATGCATGATCCTTTGTTTCATAGTCGCATCCTTCACCTACCACTTCATGAGGTGGCAGCTGTACTGTGCCTACTACCTGTTCTTGGCTTGGCTCTACGACAAAAAGCACGAGAATAGTCAAACTCCTCATCAGTACGATGCCTTCATCTCCTACAACACCCACGATGAGCTCTGGGTGGTTGGAGAGCTTCTACCCAAACTGGAAGGAGAGCAAGGCTGGAGGTTGTGTCTGCACCATCGGGACTTTCAACCAGGTGAGACTGCTAAGACTAGATTTTCAGTCAAAATGCAGACCACCCACCATCTTTGATGTCATTTTTACTTTCGATTTTTGCCATGCACAATGTTGCAATACCTCATCATGCACATATTACTGGCTTTTGCTTTCATCTTCTCCACTCCAGGGAAGCCCATCATTGATAACATATCGGACGCCATCTATGGAAGCAGGAAGACCATCTGTGTCATTAGTCGCAGATACCTGGAGAGTGAGTGGTGCTCCAGAGAGGTCCAGACAGCCAGGTTAGGAGGCGGCTAGTACACGATTTTCAGAGTTTTTGCCTTTTTGCTTCCACGTCTATTTATTTTTGCAAGATTTTGTACTTCTTTATTTATTTCACCTTTTAGATAAGACAACCCGTTTCATTTTTCCTTGTCATACATGCACATTTTTCTCCCCCCACAGTTTCCGGCTCTTTGACGAGCAAAAGGACGTTCTTATCCTGGTGTTTCTGGAGGACATCCCCACCTATCTGCTGTCTCCTTACCACCGAATGAGGAAGCTGCTGAAGAAGCAGACCTACCTGAGCTGGCCGCGGGCTGCAGACCACCCAGAGGTGTTCTGGGAGAAACTACGGCAGGCTCTGCAGACCGGAGATCATCTCAACAAAGAAAAACGAAACCTTGGAATCTTAGAGCCTCAAACATAAAACGGAGATGGAGGAGAATTACCCTAGCTAACTCACTGCTGCTGTTTGGATGCAAGAGCATTTTTCTGCAGACACCAAATAATTTCCTTATTTTATCCACCAACTGTTTAAAAGATGCAAACTGTATTTTTTTTGTCCTAAGCTGGAATATATTAATAGCAACTGGTTGCATCTTCTAAGAAAAGGAAGTGAGCCTGCACACAAACTCATTTCTATAGAACCACTGTTCAAAAACATTACCGTGCGTGTCTGGCAGTAGGTTTTGTTTCTGGTTGGTTTAAAGGGAACCTAGAATTAATCGTGTTGCTGTTGAATATGGCCATCTTCCTGTTGGCTGCTGATGGAGACAAGAGACCTAGAACGGGAACACCGTTTTTTTTTTTTTCAGTAATGTGATTCTTTATGCGATGAGTGGAATGAGTTTTCTTGTCGGACCCAACCTCTACTTTAGAGTTGTTTTTGTTGTGTAATATTAGAGCCACCTGTTGTTCTCAGCTTGATTTGAAGGGTTGACATTTGTAAAACATGAGACAGTTGACATCTACAAGATCAAGATGTGCAAATGATTATAATACAATAGTTATGTCTGCTTCTATAAATAAAATGCCCAGGTCTCTCTTCCTCAGTCAGTTCATAGAAAGAGGACATCAGGAGGATACGTCATTATCTCAGCGACATTTTTCTCCTCTACATATTTGCATTTTGACCAGGGTGGACTGGGACCAAAATTCGGTCCTGGCATTTTTACAAATCGTTGGCCCTCCCCATTGGGAGAGCGGTGGGGGTGGGGGTTGTTGCCGCCCGCAGACTCGTCTCTAGGCCGAACGTGAGATCTAAAATGGACTGGGACTGTTAAATTACAAGCAGGGCCAGACAGCTGTGACCGGGAGCCCTGGCCTTCCAGATCAGCTCATTCTCCACGGGCGGAGATCAGCGGAGCATTAGCTACATGCTAACGCAGTAAAACAACTCCTACGTCATCGCTCTACTGTGTTTTTCTTGCTAAAAATGCCTGTAAAAACTCTGTTAGCTTTGGGTTACCGTGTAGCTAACGTTCTGCAGATAACCAACTGTGGAGTAGTGTTGGTCCAAGCTGGGCAAGCAGCCCACTTGGCTAAGCGGCCCACTGGGACAGTGCCAGAATGCCAGATAGACCAGTCCACCCCTGAGACCCTAAAAGGAAAATATTTCTAATATTTTAGGGTAAAGGTCAGTGATTAATGCTAACCAGTGTACTCCGTACCTGGCCGTTGTCTGGGATTTTCACAGACCACTGGCTCAGAGCTTCACTGATCTGTTTATCTGTTTATTCACTTGCTGTGTTTTATGCTAAGCTAAAGGTAAAGGAGTACAGCCGACTCAGAAGAATGTCTGGGCTGCTTAAAATTGTCTAACTCTGGGACATATGTCCAGGGAAAATCTCATCTTTGGGTGGAATATCCCTTTAACATCACTGACTCAATTCTGAATTGTGACACAGAAAAGGACCCAAATGCAGATCCAAGGCAGACTTAACAAAACTAACAAGCTTACAGATAGAATAAAAATAAAGTAACTGGAGGCACATATAAGGCAGCAGGGAGGATGTGACTCTGAAGGAAACAAGAGCCGTTTAGTCATGACTGGAATGAGAGACTGCTGGAGGAGCACAGGTGTCAGGGTTGAGAGGCTGCAAAGAACTAACAAAGAAAAAATATCACTGTAAAAAAACCAAATGAAGACTAAATAAATATGAAGTTTGATGGAAGAATAAGACAGGCCGGATATTATCCGTAAAAGTTAAAATTTCATATTTCATCATTTTGTAAACATTTTCTTATGTTTGCTTTAAGCCTGTTTGATGCCAAAGCTTGGGATTTTCTCAGGATGTTGTAATAGTGATGATATGCGCCTTCATCTTTTATTTGACTTTTGTGACGTTTTTATAATTTATCTTTTTCTGAGTGACTTCAGCTTTCTAATCTGTTGTCGACGAGCTGGAGAGAATCTGAGTCATGACAGTTATGCTTCAGTATAATGGAACAGAAACAGGGTAATCGGCCAGTAAGTCGCAGTTAACAAACCATTATGAATGGCTTATTATGATACAACTCTTAATTTATGGCCTGTTAATGTTAGAATTACAGCAGTAGTAATAAGCTCTTAATAAGTGTTTACTAATGACTAGTTCAGACTTAGTAGTCCACTAATATGCATATTAATTGGCAGCTAATTAATGATTAATTTGTGTTCCCTAAACTAACGTGTTATCAAAAATCTTCATGTTTATTGGAAAAAATATATATATATTTTTTCTGTTCTACAAATTTCTCCTTTTGTCAAGAGATTGAATTTTTTCCTTATTCTGATTATTTCTGTTTAACGTTTTCAAGCACTGTCAAGCTGAAGAAAGAGTCCTATCAGGTCTTTTTGGCCTGTGGGACTCCAGATGCAGCTGGCGGGTACCGGCAGTCCAAGCGGAACGTGGCTCGGGTGGTCGCCGAGGCAAAAACCCGGGCATGGGAGGAATTCGGTGAGACCATGGAGCAAGACTTCCGTACAGCTTCGAGGAGATTCTGGTCCACAATCCGGCGCCTCAGGGGGAGAAAGCAGTGCGCTACCAACACTATCTATAGTGGGGACGGTGTGCTGCTGATCTCTGCTCTGGTCAGGATTCCTCCTGGACGTCTCCCTGGTGAGGTTTACCGGGCACGTCCAACCGGGAGGAGACCTAAAGGTAGACCCAGGACATGATGGAGGGACAACGTCTCTCACCTGGCCAGGGAACGCCTTGGGATTCCCCCGGAGGAGCTGGCCCAAGTGGCTTGGGAGAGAGAAGTCTGGGCCTCTCGCCTTAGGCTACTGCCCCCGAGACCCGACTGCGGATAAGCAGATGAAAATGGGTGGATGGACTGATCATCTTTCAGATTTAAACTCAAATAAATGTGCATAAATACTTGTTGCATCATTGACTTTTATTTATGTGTTGATTTTTGAACGTTTCCCATAAATCCCACTTTTGCACATTGGAAAAAATATTCATTTTTATTGAAATCACATAAACGTGACTTAAATACAACCTTTCTGAACCTAAACCAAGATTCAGCTGTTAAACATTTACCCACAAATATTATGAGTTATCAATAAATATATACATAAACATATTAATAATTACTGTAACAATTTGGCTGTTATTTCCTCAAAGGAAGACGGTTGCAGGTTCGAGTCCCTGCTGCATGAGGTCAGCCTGCTCACCCCATCCATTTAGCTTAACCTGTTCGTCGCTTCGGATTAAAGCTTTTTAGCCACAGCTTGTTTTGTGTTGAGAAAACTACACTTAACTGTTTATAAAACAGAACAGAGAAAAAGTCACACAAAAACATCTGATGTCCCTGCAGTCGTCAGCAGATTCACACGTTTTACTGAGAAACTTGTTTCTCCTCCAGGATTTTTGCTATTTTTCTTCTCTTCCTAATGAAAACAGAAAGATTCAGAGAGTGAGCAAGTGGAGTAAAACAAGAATTTAAGCTGCTACGGCACAGGAAGGAGGTTTTCTACTCACTCCACAGAGTTCATGCAGTTCTTGGCCCACTTCTTTGAAGGGTCGACACACACGAACCTGCCAGGGAGGTGGAAGCTGCAGGCGGAGAGAACACTGATTGACTGACTCTGATTCCTGGAAGTCAGCTCAGACGTGTAACCCCTGGTGCCTCTGGCAAATGTTGCACATCTGAAATACCTGACTTTTAGATCCTAACCCCCCCCCCCCATACAGAGCTGAAGTTTCAGTAACACAAAGATTTCTCTCCATTACAAAGATGTACTGTAACCATGAGTGACACTGAGCTGCTATTATATCAATCAATCAAATTTATTTATAAAGCGCTTTTCAAACAAAGTGTGATTCAAAGTGCTTTACAAAATGACCCCAGATTCCCATAACAGGTTAAAAACATTAACAAACATATGCAAGCACACGCATACACACACAGACTCACACACACACACAAGTAAAAATTATATTAGGCTGAGTCCAGATGAGCCAAGTAAGGTAAGGCAAGGAAACATCTGTCCCGGCAGCATCAGGTCTTCCACACTAAGTCAGGGCGCTCTATAGGTGGGGAGCATAGCCCCCCACCTATAGAGCGCCCAGGAAGCTACAGTCGACCACCGCTCCCGGGGCAGAGGGCCCCTACAGATGAAATACTGGATTAAAATGAGTAAAATGTAATAAAAGCGCCAATATAAATGACAAAAATTAGAAAATAAGTAATAAATAAAATGATATAGACAGTAAAATAATCATTTAAATAATAGAACTGTGCTAAAATATAATCATATAGAACATGCAAAGCAAGTAATAAAATATAATCATGTAAAACGAGAAATAAAACTGTAGAAATTATCCTTTCCTGCTGACATTAAAGCAGTATTCCTATTTCATCAAGCATTCATGTTAGTTAATCAGCCACCATGAGCTTTTCTGTCCTAAATTATAGAGGAATAACTCACATGATGGCGCTGATGTCACAGGAGCTGTTAATGGTCTGAATGCTGTAGCTGAAAACTTTTGCACAGCTGAGGTGACGCTTTGTGTATCGCATGCAGCAGCTCGCTGTAACACAAAGATATCACAACAATCATAAATAAAAATGGCTTCAAACGGAACTGAAATGTCAGTAGTCGACTTACCTGCATCTGCTCTGCTGATGAAGGTGGTGAACATGACGAGGCAGCACAGAGCTGCCACTAGACACGCCTTGCTGCTTGCCATTCTCGCTCACCTGGGCTGTGACGGAGTGAAGCCAAAGAGGTGTGACTCGCTTGCAGGATTCTCTCGGAGTAACTTGCAGCGCACAGAGCCAGCCTCTTAAATAGCGGACCAGGTGGGATTTTCCAGGTGGGCAGGGTGAAGCTCGATGGGCTTTTGTTGATCAAAACAAGGAAATGGGACGAGATGCACCAAACATCCAACAACCTCAAACCTGGGGTTGTAGGACCACAAATGACAAAAACTTTGGCCCAAAAATGCTAAATATAAACAAAAAAATACAAACTTTTTATGACAGATTTATCGTCCTTTGATTAAAAAACTTGTTCTGTCACTTTTGTAATGTTTCTGCAGATGCCTTCTCCATTACTAAGCGGATTTAACAAGCTGCACATCACCAAGCTCTGCAAAAATGTTTTAATCGTGTTTTGCAGCAGGGAAGCATCTGAAAACATGGAAGATGGTGACACTAAAATGGTTAAAAAGATAAATGGAGTCACTTGTCAGCCTCGAACTGAACTCATGCCAAACAGATGGAGTAAGACACCAGAAGAAGAAGTTTGAGGGGCGTTTCAGCTTCAGCGGCTGCACAACAGACCCCAGCTTATGAAAAACAAATGCACAAGCCTCGGTACGGGGATTGATGTCTTCTTTGGCGCTAAGACTTCCTGGGCAAGAGACCGCTTCTTTTGCTTTGGGAACCTTACTAAAGATGGCTCATTGCCATCAAAACTCCTCAAATATCAAGCTTTTCTTTTCCTGAGAAAAAAAAAAGAGTTTGTGCCAACAAGCACATTTAATATGGGCTTGGTTTGTGTAAACGAGAACAAAGATCAGGAGCTTAAAAGTTTGAACTTATTAGCTTGAGATGAGAAAAATTGGTGGAAAATAAGCAAAATCGATCAAATCTGGTTGGTTAATTCAGCTGTTTGCTGCTTATGTGCTCACATCAAAAGGAATTCATCTCTCACCTTTCTGAGCTGGCAAGATTCAGACATTTGTGAGTCATGGTTCATCTATGTGTCTGTCTGTCGTCCTCAGTGTGCCCAATAATGAGTTAATGAATGACGTCTTTCATTTTTCCTTTCTGTCGGCTTGTCGGTGGGCTGCAATGAACCGATGAGAGCACTGAGCTCGTTTTCTAAGGAAGACTTTAATAAGGAAAGAGCCAGAATTAAATATCAAGCTTGCATCAGCGGGTGTGTAGCCAATAACAGTTCAGACAAAGGCCCTGTCCACACGTAGCCGGGGATCTGCCAAAACGTACATATTTTCTACGTTTTGGCCTGTCATCCACACGAAAACGGAGTTTTTTCACACGAAAACGGATCTTTTTAAAAACTCCGGCCAAAGTGAAGATCTGCGTTTTCTCCGTTTTGGGTGTCTGCGTGTGGACGGACAAAACCGGAGTTTTAAGGTCCGCAACGTCACTTTCCACGACAAAAAAATGCTGACATCACGTGTGCGACCTGTGTTTACACTAGCCGGCAGCATGGATGCCCTCAGAGCTGCGCTCGCTTTATCAATTGTCCAAGCGCTTTTTGCTTGTTTGTTTTTGCAAGCGGAATTACTGCTCCTTGTGGAAGACCACAGACGAAGGACGAGGTTAAGAACGGGGGAAGTACTGCCGCCTACAGGTCTGGCATGTCCTTAACAACGTATTTATCCGGGTACGTGTGGACAGAGTTTTTTTTTTTAAACGAGGTGGTGTGGATGCAAGTTTTTGGAGGGGCGGATATTCGTTTAAAAAAAAAACCCGGCTACGTGTGGACTAGGCCAAAGCCTGTTGGAGACAGGCCGTTCCTGATAGTGATGGGAATTCCGGCTCTTTGTCTTTATTTTGAACATGCGTCCATACACATAGTAATACACACAACATAAGTAGCTTCTTCTGGTTTTTTATTTTTTTATTTATTTTACACATGTTTAAAAGGGAGTAGGAAGAAGCATCAGCTTATTTAATCCCACCCCTTTCTCGACATCAAATAACTAATAGTTATTTGATGTTGTCAGGTAGTTTTTGGCTAATTACTTTGCAACATATTCACACAAATGACACGTGGTTTATCAAGATCATGTTATAAATACAAACGTTCTGTGTTTAGACAAACACTTTGGACCTTCTTCTTCCTTGTATTTGGTAAATATCATGAGTTTAAGCCTTTTTTTAAACAGCATCATGTTTGGACATTGCTTCAATTCATCACTCATTCTGTTCCACAGTTTCACACCACACACACACACACACACACACACACACACACACACACACACACACACACACACACACACACACACACTAAAAGTTTGTAATGTTGTTCGGACTCGAGCATATTTGAATTTTAACTCCCCCCCCCCCCCCCCCCCTTTAATGAAACAGTTTTAATATGTTGTCTGGAAGTAGTTTATTGTTTACTTTATACATTAGCTGTGCTGTTTGAGATTGAACTATATCTGGAAGTTTTAAGATTTGTGATTTTAAAAGTAATGAGTGTGTATGATCTCTGTAACCAGTGTTATGAATGTAACACAGATAATGATGATAATGCACATTTATAGGCGTTTCCCCAAACCTCTGTACAGTAATTTAAATATGTGGAAATAAGTGAACAGTATAGAATGTGGAGTGACTTTTGGTCCAGAATGTGTTTGACTTTATTTAATATTGAGATGCTTCTTGAGATTTTATTGCTTATATGTCTAATGTGAGCTTTCCAGCTGATTCTATTGTCTATTATTACACCAAGAAATCTGATCTCCTTCACTCTTTCAATTCTCACACCATCAATTTGGATTTGTTCTTGTAAATTTAGGCTGCTGTACCCAAACACCATGATTTTAGTTTTATTCAAGTTTAGTGATAATTTATTCCATTCAAACCATTTTTTTTTTTTGCAGTTCTGAGTTGAGCGTATGTAGGAGTTCCTTGAAATTATCCCCAGAACAGAAAATATTTGTATCATCTGCTAATAAAATGAACTTTAATGATTGTGACACCTTGCAGATGTCATCAATATAAAGAATGAACAGTTTTGGACCAAGCACTGACCCCTGGGGAACACCACAAACAATGTCCAAGCATGATGAGTTGATTCCATCCAACTTCACAAACTGCTTCCTGTCGGTCAAATAATTCCTGATCCAGTCTAGAGCCACTCCCCAAATTCCATAGCGTTCCAGTTTATGTAGTAGGATGTTATGATTGATTGTGTCAAATACCTTTTTTAGATCTATGAATACTCCAACTGCACACTTTTTCTGATCTATAGCATTTGCAATGTCCTCTAGTGTTTCAATTAGTGCCAGTGTTGTTTTAGAGAGCCGGTTCTTTTGGCTCAGCTCACCAAAAAAGAGCTGGCTCTTTCGGCTCCCAAGTGGCTCCTCAGATTTTCTGTTGCGTAGAGTATATTAATCACCAAAAATAATGCTAAACTATATGTAAAACGATTTACTCGTGTAAAAAAAATGCAATATATCAAATATTTATCATTTATATGGATTTATTTACTGAACACTTTAAGAAATCTCCACTTTCCGACTGCTGTCGCTCATTTTCTCACCGTCTTCGTTGCACTCTCGTCTCGCTCGCTCGCCTTTTACCTCCTCCTCGTCTCCCTCCACCCGCATGTGCTCTGCTGTATGTCCGAGTCTGATCCTCCCTCTTCCCCGCCCCTACTGCTCTGTGTGTAGACAGTCTGGACACGCAGTTACACATGTTGACCAATCGCCTGTGGCTTTCACCAAAGCAGGGGGGGAGGGGGGGTGACGGCTCCCAATGACGAGCCGTCGTTCACTTCATAGAGCCGGCTCTTAGAGCCGGTTCGTTCGCGACCGACACATCACTAGTTCCTGAATGTTTTCTCAGGTGGCTTAAGTCAATCATTTATTTGACCTTCCCTGATGGTTGGGAAAACTGGATTTGTGAGGAAAACCCGTCCTGTGTCGGATTTGGACTAAATGAACACAAGCTGCAAAACATATTTCCATATGCTGTATTGGGAAATTAAACTGAACAGAAGAACAACAGTAAAACAAAGGACATAAATAATGCAGCGTCTGTAGTTTTCATGCAAATGGTCAGAACGGGGGATTTCTCCGATTATGCAGGATCTATTTTGAGCTGAAACATGATGTCACCTGAAACAGTTCGATGTCCAAAACAAATAACTCTTGCAGGTGGAAGTAAGTGTACACAAAGGGAAGATTTAAGATGGACATTTAATCAGTGAATGCTTTCTGGTGTAGCAATCATTGACTTTGTAGGAAGTGGCATGCACTTCTGTATAAAAAACTATGAAAGTGAAAAATAAAACATATTGCAAACACCTCGAAGCCCCAGTTTGTAATATGTTTCCTTGTTGATCACATTCTGTGCATCCTGCTCACAAACTTGTCCTTTTTTCATTCTTCTTTCTCACCAACATCTAATGTGTGTAGTCACTTGAAATTTCACATTTTTACATCTAGATGTGGTCGACCATTTTGAAGTACGGTAGCTGTTTAGGGACAAACACATAGGGATGGTTCTCTCTGTAGCAGCCTTGCTGTTCTTTCCTCATGGGTTGCCTCAGTTTGTATTAAACACATTTAGATCAATTTTTAAAAAATAAAGCTAAATAAAACAAACCCGATCTCTGGATTGAAATCTGGAAGTCTTGATGACATATTAGGTTACTTTAGCTGTAGTACTCTGAACAGTGTGGTGCTAAAAAGTTGATTTTTTTTCACACACTGGGCTTTAAAATCCCACTCCACTGAAACTGCTCTGTTAGCAGTGACGGAATCCTTAAAAGAAGCTAGAGCGACTGCCCAATCCTCAGTGCTTATCCTGCTCGACTTATCGGCTGCACTTGACACTGTCAACCATGGCTTCCTTTTGTCCACACTCTCTAGCATGGGCATCACAGAGAAAGCACACGCCTGGTTTGAATTGTACCTCACAGGACGATCATTCAGTGTATCTTGGCTTGGACAATCCTCTGCTGTGCACCATCTTGCCACAGGAGTCCCCCAGGGCTCTGTACTAGGACCTCTTCTCTTTGCCATATACACCACCTCATTGGGTGAGATCATTCAAT